CTGGGTGATAATTACCCTCACTTTACTTGTCTGATTAACTCACCTTGATGCCTGGTCAGCTGGGATAAAGAAGAAATTTAATCAGCTGGGGGCCCCTGTAATTCATAGAGCAATGTGGTTTGAATGTCTTTTTATTGTATTTTATTTAGGTGGGGGAAGAGGACGTGAATCAGGGCCTGAGAACCAAGGAAGGGGGTCAGAGTTTAAGAGCTTAACCCAATCAATACATTTCCCACTGTGAAGCTAGGAGCCACTTGGGGTGGGAGTTGTATTCATTTATGTATTGATTTTATATTCCACCCTCTCGCATATGGGCAGAAGGCTAGACCCTACCAGTGCTTCTTAAACTTGGGTGTTCAACTGTTGTTGGACAACCACTCCCATCATCCCTAGCTAGGAGGATGTTGTAGCTTGGAGACCCACGTTTGAGAAACACTGCATGCACCATGGCCTTCATCCAAATTCCTAACAGCGCCCACCCCCCGCTTTTTTTGTAAAAGGCATCAGGATACAAGACACAAAACTCCCACATTGCATGACCCTTTTGGAATCCAATTCGAAAGCTTTCAATGTTGCTGACAGCCATCTGAATTTTCCACTTGAAAGAGTTTTATGACTTAGTAAGTTTTACGACTTTGGAGTCTGTACCTTAAGCTACCCTTCTTTCCCTCAAGAACTACAAGAACAAAAGAAAATGCCAGAGAGTTTGGTAAGCTCACCTCCACCCCATTCTGTGCCTAAGGAGGCTCTTCTGACTAGTCGCTCCTTCTGTTAATGGCTACACAAATCTCAAGCAGCAAATCAACACATTTTGCTTTTAACAACCTCCAGACTCCCTGCCCACTAACCAGATCATCAATAACGAGAGCATATTGTACAAATGGACTAATAACACAACCTTAATTCAATTGCTTCCAACAATTTTCTGTGCACACTCTATTAAAAACAGCCACTCAGCCAGAATGCTTTAGAAGCCTGCCCAAGGTCCCTTTCTGAAAAAGAGACAGGAATCTGAACTGGTTCAAGTCAGCCAATATCTGCCAGTCAGTTCTCCTTGACACTTGACTCTGCCATTTCACACATGACATTTATTTTATCTACACCGGTATTTTTTTTTGGGGGGGGGGCATTATATACCTATGCAACATTACCATGCAAGATCACCCAGGGACAGTTTTCCTAAGTGGAACAGCAGCTGACAATGGAATATCAAACATGTTTCTCTGTGTTGAGAAATATACATGGGTGTTATCTTCACACACACCTTATATGTCTCTACAAGTTTGATGATACACACTCATGCAGATCCAAGAAAGGGCTTTCTGAAACACTATCACTTTTGTGTCAGAGGACTGAGTTCTATATGGATTGACAGTAAATGGTGTTTGTGCTTCTCTTTGGTTAATCTTTTGGCCTCATGGCTCAGGTCCAAATTGATTTATCCACATGATCTGGATGTGTCAGACATGGTTTTCCACTAAACCACTTAGCTATATCCATGTGTGGGGAATCAGGCAGTGCCAAAACACTCAGATGCTGCCATTTAATGCCTACCCTCTTCCTGCGCTTTCTCTTCAAGGAGGGATGTGACTCCCTAAGGAGAGAAGAAGGATACTGGGTTCAGTCAGAGGAGGAGGTGTCCTGACAGAAATGCCTTTTTCTTTTCTGGGTCTTATGTCTGACAAATTGGTGTCTCCAGATATAATCAGCTGCCTTGGACTGCTTCTGATGTTACTTTTGTTTGCTATTTCTTAAAGAGACAGTCTGCAAGATCCTTGTTTCCAATACACCTGATCCTTCAGATTAGGGATGTACAAAGTTTCTTTTTCATTAAGAATTTCAGAAGAAAAAGTGTGTGTGTGTGTGTGTGTGTGTTGCTGGGGGGGGGGTTGTGTGGGGAATTTACAACTCCACATGCTTATCTTTTTTTGTTTTCTGCTTCCTTCCTGTTCACAGCTGCTCCTTTTCCCAAACTACAGCTTTGTCACAATTCTTTTTTAAAAAACTGGCGTTTTCCTCTGAAGTGACATCTTAAGCAGGGTGATGTCATCATGCCAATAAGAACTAGATACAAGTCGAATCAGAGTGAGGGTAACGGTTCCTGCCCTCACTCAAAGTGGACAAACATTTTATTTGTTTCCCTACGAAAACGCACACATACCAAAATGGAGGGGGGGGGGAGGAGAAATGAGTCAGGGAAAGGGTAGTAATGCGGGAGGGAACATGGTGAGGAAGGGGGGGGCAGAAGCCATCTTATTGATCACAGAAAGCCCCCTGCCCTGCTTCTCCTTGATTTCAAAAGGAAACTGTTCTGGTCTCAAAAACCTTCCCGTTTCAAAGATTTCACCTATATGCTTCTTTTCTTCACACCATGAGGGTTGGAACCGCACACTTATTTATTTTTTAAAAACAAAATCTGAAATCCCCAAGGGCCTGGCTAAAAAGAACCAAATCAGCATGTGTTCTCCTAGAAAGGCACATGATGTGTTTTATGATGAGCCTATCGAGCCCCTGTTCTTGGGTATCATCTTCCTCTCTGTTTGGTCAAGATGCTTGAAGCCACAGGCTTAAATGATACGGCTGGGGCAGATCTTCTTACAGGAAGCACCTGCGATGCTCTTGCAATTCAAATCAGCTGCAAGAAAAGGATTTGTGGCCTTTTCAGCCAACATTCCGCTCACGGCTAGGAAAGGCCAAGGTGATGGTAAGATTATTCCTCCATCTGCGGTCCAAAATGAATGTGTATGCGGTATATATGTTTGTATATATGTTTGTGTGTATGTCTATTTAAAACCCACCACAAAACAAAAAACTTGCCAAACTGAGAGATCTTTGCCTGCCATGTGCTGCTTGCCTTCAGTACTTTTGCATGGATAACTGGAAACTCACTTTGACAGACATGAGGCCCGTAACAAATAGCATCCAACCAAAGTGAAGGAGCGTTTTTAATTGTTTCGCTGTCTGTGCCCGCAGCGGTGCTGCATTAGTGCCCTTGACTATGCTGGCTTTGCTTTTTTTCTTTCTTTCTCTAAAAGAAGTATTTATAGAGTGCCCTGTCAAGGCTCACATCTCTCTTAGCTTTCTTCCACTAACTGTCAAACTGGAAAAGCATCCTGAAATCTCCCGGGGCCTCCCTTCCTGATTTTCTGTGCTCCTGTAAGGTATCAATATGCTTGAGAGAACCGCCGAGTACTAAGCGCGTCTTTTGAAGGTAATGGAACTGGATGGTCCATCGTGGCCCACCGTGATTGATTCACGCTTTACTCACACAGCAGAGAAGAGCTTTTTCCATCTCTTGGCCTGGTAACATTAGCTGCCTCTTTGCCAGGGTCTGCCTCCCTATTTGCTTTAAATATACAATGCCTTCTTTATTCTGGCATTACCCTGGGGGGACCTTGCTGTACATTATCTTGCGTGCAGCCTGGGTAATGGCTTGGCCTCGCTCGCTTCTTTTCATCTCCTCCGGCACCACAACAGCTGTTGGGCAGAACTACCCAAAAGCCTGCAGCAACACTTCTGCTCCTGAACTCTCTCTCGCAACACAACCATTGGTCAAAAGCAGACAAAAAGGCCAGTGAGCCAGCAGATATGAGAGACCGCCACACTTGTTAGCACAGCTGCATGGCGCACAATTTCAGGCAGCTCATCCAGGAGGAGGAGGGAGGTTGTCTCGTTGGTAGCAGCCCTTTTGAAAGAGCAATTGAGGTTTGTATCTACCTCATTTCCCCAGTACTTAACCCCCAATTCAGCACCAAATCCTTCAACCATGAATGCAGGAAGCTGCCATCTGGATGTAACCTGGAACACAGCGTATTGGGATCATCAACCGATATGGATAACACAGGTATCCTTTTGGCAGAAATCCTTCATAGCCACAGGACACTATACGACCAAGATTCCACACATACTCAGAACTGTTGCTTTTCTGATATTCCATGCTTGGGGTTTTTCTTCAGAACAACAGAATAGTAGGAAGTAGAATATTCTGTCGTGTTTAGATTCTAGGTTGAGAACTCCACTATCCTTTTGTCACTTTAATATACCAATCCTAAGCATACTTACTAGGAGGTATGTTCACTGAACTCAGTACGACTTCTTGTTTCTCTGTCAAACTGCTTACCAACAGGATTGATGAAACAAAATGAAACTTTGCCACTACCTCTATCTCGGTATGTTTCCTGCATTGAGGCTGCTTAAGAAACTGCAGGTAGCACACAACTCAGTGGCTGGGTTGTTCGGTGTGCAGCCTACACAGAGCGTGTGGCACCTTCGCTTAAATAACTGCACTGTCTGTCAGTATGTTACCAGGCAGGGCTGCCAGAGATGATGTTGTCATACAAAGCCCTAAGCCAATCCCTATTATTTTGTATTATTTTTATGTCTCTTATGTTTTGCTGTACTTGTATATATCATTGCACACAGTGCCTTCATCTGTTTTACATGAGTGGCCAATATAGATAGATAGATAGATAGATAGATAGATAGATATAGATAGATAGATAGATAGATAGATAGATGATAGATGATAGATAACCTGGGACCTGGTTCCATGAGGGAGTGCATTCTTCATTACCAATCTGCTTCTCATGGATTTGTTGCCTGCACATGTACATCTTGGGGCAACCAGGGGCAGGGTCTTCTCTGCTGTGGCACCTAATCTTCAGAATCCCCTCCCCACTGAAGTACAGAAGGTGCCAACCTTACTTAGGTTTTGGCATCGGTTAAGATTTATTTTTCTGTCAAACATTTGCCGGCTTTACCTAGCTTTTAGTAACATGTTTTAATTTTTTTCTACTGTGGTTGTGGTATTGATGTTATGAGCTATTGTTGTTTTAACATATGAAGTTATTTTGTAACCACTCTGGAATTTGCTAATGAAAGGCGGTGTGTGTGTATTATTTTAAATACATAAATTTCTGCTGGTATGACAGAATTTAGTAGCAATCTTCTAGAACCTGAGGTGTAACAAAGGAGGAAAGGAACATTGTTTCCCTCACCAACACAGCCGCCCCTCGTTTGATGAGTGAGCAGCTGCCTCGAAATAACACAATAAAGAGTCGCTCCTGTCTGGGCTGTCTCTAGAATAGGGGGCGACATCTCCAGGATGGAGTTGCAGCAGGCCTGACTTCATATAACATCCTAATTAAATGCTTGTTATTCATACAACAGAGGCCTGGTGGTCGAGGTGACACACCAGATAACATGACAAGTTCTCTTGGCCTCCTGACAGCAGCTGCTCCAGTGTGCTAAGGCTAAATGAAGAGTGAAAACCCGAACTCTAGCAAAGTGATTACAGAGGTGAACTTCCAGGCTCGTAGCTGCAGGGGGACTTGGAAAGACGGTTGCCTGAAACCTTGGAGAGCTGTTGCCAGCCAGTGTGGCTCATACTAAGTTAGATGGACCAACGCTCTGACTTGGGATCAGATGGCTCCTTAGAATGCAGGCAGCAGTCCTAAGTGGAGTCAGGGAGGAGCAGAACAGAACATCCACCGTCATGCATCCCAAGCCTCATTGGCATGTGACCCATATGTGGTTTGTTTGTTTTTGCTACAACGGCTCATGCCACCTTAAATATACCTTCAGAAGGTGGTGGAAATATATTCTTAAATTATTCCAACTGCTGAAGGGGTAACTTGAGCCTGCATCCTTAAAAGGTTAGTGCAGAAGACTGATTAAACCAGGCTTCCTCAACCTCGGCCCTCCAGATGTTTTGAGACTACAATTCCCATCATCCCTGACCACTGGTCCTGCTAGCTAGGGATCATGGGAGTTGTAGGCCAAAAACATCTGGAGGGCCGAGGTTGAGGAAGCCTGGGTTAAACCCTTCTGTGAGTCTACAAACTCACATGGAATGGGAAACAAAAGACAAAGAGGTTAAGTATGTAATGATAAAGTGGGCAAAGGATCTGGGACATAACATACAAACAAATGATTGGGGAAAACTTTGGAAGGTGGATCCTTAGTTTATTGATTATTATTTTTGAAAAAATTATTGACAAAAATATATAAACTCACATAGGAAAATTAATAATAATAATAATAATAATAATAGATTCTCTGATTTTGAGCAGATAGTTAAGGAACAAAAAATCCTGCAAAGCCTGTTAGCTGAGTGGATTAGACAAAGGATGGCTGGGCTACATTCAAATGCCTTGGAAAAAGAAAAAAAGAACTATATTTGGGTGAAAAAGCATGATAAATGGGGCATAACATTAACAGCCAATGTAGAAGGGTGTAGCAATGCAAGGGATACAAACTTGGCAATGTGACATGATTTATCAGATCAACTAGAAATAGTTAATGAGTATGCATGCTTTTAAGCTCAACTGGACAGCTGGCTTATTCATACACCAACAATTTTTGCTCCAATACAAGACAACTCGGGGGGGGGGGGGATATGAAGGTTCTATTAAATATGCTCAGGTGCTTAGCAACATCATTGCAATCTTCTCAGCATCCCCGCCCTCTCCGTGGCAACACGCTGACGGCATGTTAAAATTCAGAGAAACAAAAGTTTCCAAATGGTTTCTGAAAAGCACAAGTCAGCTGGAAGGAGCCAACTAGGAAAGGCTCCAATGCCAAGAGTAGGTGTTGGGTTTTGTTTTTTTTACTTGCTATAAAATTAACAAGCTCTTTGTGGGTTCAGTTTTCAGTTTGGTGCAGGGGGCTCGCAGTGTTTGAGGAAATGCTGGGGGGCACAGGGAGAATTCTCATTTTGGTTCCAAATGGGAGACAAAGCTTCCCTCAAATATTGTTAATTTGTGAAGCTGCCAGGGTGATTGATGCTCTGTGAAATGGCAGCTTTCCTTGTAGCTTACAGAACTGCTATTAATGCAGTCAGAAAGCCTTCACTCCTTCAAGGGATCCTCACACTGAATATTAATAGCACACATCTTGCCTCTTCCGTTTGGGTTTCTTTGAAGGATCCTCTGCCTTGGCAACAAGAGGATATGGGAAGCTGATGGACTATATGGAACTGGCGGAGATGACTGGCAGAATCCGAGACCAGGGAGAAGAGTCAGTGGAAGAAGACTGGAAAAAGCTTAAAGACTACTTACAGAAATACTGTAAAATTAATGAATGTTAGGAAAATGTTGGAATGAAGTTATATGGCTTTAGTAGAAATGTTATAAGGAATTAAGTATAAATAGATTAATAGAGTACTAAAGGGAAAAATAAGGTTAGAATCTTTTAAGATAATTGAAAGATAGAAAGCAGAGGAAGATGGAAAGGAATTGCTGAAACAATTAACAGAAGTGGAATACAAAAAGGGAGGTGTGAGGAGGTCACTGAAATAAGTGAACGAAAGATAAGATATGGAAATTGTTCGATTTTTTTTTTAAATTGTTTTTGTTCTGTTAGTTTAGTGCGTTGTGTAGTGTTTTTGTATTGTGTTGTGCTGTTCTTTTTTCTTCTTATTTTTGTGTGTGTTTGAATTGTCGGAAAAGTAATAAATATTATTTTTTTTAAAAAAGAGGATATGGGAAGCAAAGCCTGGCTGCTAATGCGGGCAGCATGGAGCGCAAACACAGGGGCAGCCATCCTGCAGACACACTAGCCTTTCCATGGCAAGGATGGATGGATGGATGACTCAGACTAGTGGTCCATCAAGGTCAGTATTGTCTACTCCAGGGATGGAGAACCCAGTGGTGAAGCTGCATGCTGGAGAGCAGATGGGTGGAGAGCAGATGGGTGCTTGACTGGTGCACATCCTGGGGGAGGGATGTGGTGCGCATCCTTGGGGTGTGGCGCGCTGCCCGCAGGGCCGTGGCACCCGCCATAGTGGGGTGCGTGTGGTGCATGTCGGGGAGGGGGGCAGCCACAATGGTTCCCCCTGCCCCCCGTTCCTCCGCCAGTGCCCTTACCTGGACCTTCGACTCTCGCCTGGCCACAGGCTTCCTGACCCCCTCACATCACCAGCTCTGCTTTGTACCCTCAAGTGTTTTTGTCTAGCTAGAACAGTGGTTCACAAAGGGTGTGGTGTGCCACACTGGTGTGGCAGGAGAGGATGACAAGTGTGACAGAAAGATTCAAGGACAATCACAGAAGCATTTCAGTATAGTATGGCATGGCATAGCATTAGTGTATATATATATATTCTTTGGCACTGCCCTTCTTTGGGATTGGGATGTAGACTGATCTTCTCCAATCCTCTGGCCACTGCTGAGTTTTCCAAATTTGCTGGCATATTGAGTGTAGCACCTTAACAGCATCATCATTTAAAATTTTAAATAGTTCCGCTGGAATATCATCACTTCCACTGGCCTTGTTATTAGCAATGCTTTCTAAGGCCCATTTGACTTCACTCTCCAGGATGTCTGGCTCAAGGTCAGCAACCACACTACCTGGGGTGTACGAGACATCCATATCTTTCTGGTATAATTCCTCTGTGTATTCTTGCCACCTCTTCTTGATGTCTTCTGCTTCTGTTAGGTCCTTTCCACTTTTGTCTTTTATTATGGTAATCTTTGTACGAAATGTTCCTTTCATATCTCCAACTTTCTTGAACAGATCTCTGGTTTTTCCCATTCTATTGTTTTCCTCTATTTCTTTGCATTGCTCGTTTAAGAAGGCCTTCTTGTCTTTCCTTGCTATTTTTTGGAAATCTGCATTCAATTTCCTGTATCTTTCACTATCTCCCTCGCATTTTGCTTGCCTTCTCTCCCCCGCTATTTGTAAGGCCTCGTTGGACAGCCACTTTGCTTTCTTGCATTTCCTTTTCATTGGGATGGTTTTAGTTGCTGACTTCTGTATAATGTTACGAGCCTCCATCCATAGTTCTTCAGGCACTCTGTCCACCAAATCTAAATCCTTAAACCTGTTCCTCACTTCCACTGTGTATTCATAAGGGATTTGACTTAGATTGTATCTTACCGGCCCAGTGGTTTTTCCTACTTTCTTCAGTTTAAGCTTGAATTTTGCTATAAGAAGCTGATGATCTGAGCCACAGTCAGCTCCAGGTCTTGATTTTGCTGACTGTATAGAGCTTCTCCATCTTTGGCTGCAGAGAATATAATCAATCTGATTTCGATGCTGCCCATCTGGTGATGTCCATGCGTAGAGTCGTCTCTTGTGTTGTTGGAAAAGAGTGTTTGTGATGACCAGCTTGTTCTCTTGGCAGAACTCTATTAGCCTTTGCCCTGCTTCGTTTTGAATTCCCAGGCCAAACTGCCAGTTGTTCCTTTTATCTCTTGACTCCCTACTTTAGCATTCCAATCCCCTATAATGAGAAGAACATCTGCCTTGGATTCGTATCGAGATCATTCTATCATTTTTGAGATTGCATCCCAGTACAGCTTTCGCCACTCTTTTGTTGACTATGAGGGCCACTCCATTTCTTTTACGGGATTCTTGCCCACAGTAGTAGATATGATAATCATCCGAACTGAATTCGCCCATTTCCATCCATTTTAGTTCACTGATGCCCAGGATGTCAATATTTATTCTTGCCATCTCATTTTTGACCACATCCAACTTACCAAGGTTCATGGTTCTTACATTCCAGGTTCCTATGCAATATTTTTCTTTCACCTCATCTGTCTCCTGAGAAATATCTATGTGGGACAAGAAGCTACAGTTAGAACTGGATATGGAACAACTGATTGGTTCAAAATTGGGAAAGGAGTATGGCAAGGCTGTATACTGTCTCCCTGCTTATTTAACATATATGCAGAATTCATCATGCGAAAGGCTGGGCTGGATGAGTCCCAAGCCGGAATTAAGATTGCCGGAAGAAATATCAACAACCTCAGATATGCAGATGACACAACCTTGATGGCAGAAAGTGAGGAGGAATTAAAGAACCTTTTGATGAGGGTGAAAGAGGAGAGCACAAAAATGGCCTGAAGCTCAACATCAAAAAAACGAAGATCATGGCCACTGGTCCCATCACCTCCTGGCAAATAGAAGGGGAAGAAATGGAGGCAGTGAGAGATTTTACTTTTTTGGGCTCCATGATCACTGCAGATGGTGACAGCAGTCACAAAATTAAAAGATGCCTGCTCCTTGGGAGAAAGGCGATGGCAAACCTAGACAGCATCTTAAAAAGCAGAGAGATCACCTTGCCAACAAAGGTCCGTATAGCTAAAGCCATGGTTTTCCCAGTAGTGATGTATGGAAATGAGAGCTGGACCATCAAGAAGGCTGATCGCCAAAAAATTGATGCTTTTGAATTATGGTGCTGGAGAAGACTCTTGAGAGTCCCATGGACTGCAAGAAGATCAAACGTATCCATTCTTAAGGAAATCAGCCCTGAGTGCTCACTGGAAGGACAGATCGTGAAGTTGAGGCTCCAATACTTTGGCCACCTCATGAGAAGAGAAGACTCCCTGGAAAAGACCCTGATGTTGGGAAAGATGGAGGGCACAAGGAGAAGGGGACGACAGAGGACGAGATGGCTGGATAGTGTTTACAAAGCTACAAACATGAGTCTGACCAAACTGCGGGAGAAAGTGGAAGACAGGAGTGCCTGGCGTGCTCTGGTCCATGGGGTCATGAAGAGTCGGACACGACTAAACAACAACTAAATAAATAAATAAATAAATAAATAAATAAATAAATATTTTGCAGAATATGGTAGATATTCAAGAGCACTGGCTATTCTTCTACATTTCTCCATGATTTTCAGCTCTGACAAATACGAAAGATCGGAAAAGAGACAGGGTTCTGTGTGTTGATGAGAAGATAAGAGTTTGTCTCAAATTAGACTGAATATAAATGAGATTACCTAGCAAAAGCAAGCTCACACATCTCATTGAGTTTGTATACATACTTATGGTACATATGTATGAGGCTCGTTTATAATTATATTTTGGGAATGAGACACTTCCTCTCATGTCCTACAAGTGGTTTCATGTATTTGAGAAAGCCTGCACTTCCCTGGGTGAAAGGTATCGCAGAATGGACTATTGTGAGGTGGTAGCAAGAAAAGTTTATTATTATCCTCTAGAGGGAATTCCAAAGTTTGAAGTAAAGGAGGAACTAACGTTTTGACAAGATAAGGCATAATAAGGCAAAGGTGACAAAAACTTCAGATGGAGCGGAAGGTTTTGCTGTTGCTTCCCATTCAAATCGACAGATGAACTAGAATTCACAAGAATAGAACATTTGAACAAATTCCTGGGACTGAAGTCCAGCTCTGTTTGGTTCCTCTTTTCCCTCAGCTCAGAGAGACAGGAAATGGCCCCACTTAGCTGAAAGGCAGATCCATTTGGTTCCTCCTCTCCCTGAGCTGTTTGTGTCCAGGCCAGATGTTACAAGAACTTTATTCTGGGTTCACCCACACCTCTGTTTGCCCTGCTGCCAAATGGCAGCCGACTTTTCCATGGATTGTCATTTGTTTTAATTCAGCAGCAAAGAGCAGGGGTGGTGCATCCCATTTTGCTGCTTGAGGCAAAACAGGAAGTGTCACCTTGCCCTGCTGCCTCCATAGCTGCTGCCGCTCTCACCACTTCTCTGCCCCCCTCGCTGCATCTGCCACCAGCAGAGAAGTGACGTGGGCATCTTGTACGCTCCACAAGATCTCATGTGATTTTTGTTGGTGCCACTTCTGTGGAGGTGATGGGATGCCTGTGGAGCTGCCCCCCGGGGCCTTCTGCCACCGAAGGCAGCTGCCTCAGTCTGCCTAATGGCAGAGCTGACTGTGTTTCCAGGAGAAAGCTGTGGGGAAAACACAAAACTGCTCGGACCCTAGAAAGCAGAAAACCACTTAGACCTGTGCTTTCTAGGCACGGGACAAGCAGAAGCGTGGATGAGCAGTAAATTTAAGAACTGGTGGCTGAGCTTCCTTATTTTCTTCCTTCTGCCCATCCCCCTTTTCCTCTTTTTGTCACACGCGCTGGAGACTTTGTGCATTGTGATGCGCTTTTCAGCGCTGTTCTCCCAGGCTGCAGAGTCAGCATGTTCACAGACGTCTCTGTGATGAGCGCTCAAACTAAGGGATATCCTTTTAAACGAACTCTAGGAGCATGCAGCCACAGATGACTGATGTGGCTGGATCTGTCCCAGGTACAGTAGCTTTGTATGTGTGTGCTGGTGGCGCAGTCTGGCTTTCAATCATCACAGGAACATCATCTATAATTTCATTGTTAACTGAACATGGCATTCCATTTACCAAAACCCCAGAGTCCACGCTACTTCTCTTTCTATTCTGGAAAGAAGATTTCCTCTGAGCAAGTTGAAAGAGATTCTGGTATGGTTGCCGGGTACCTAACACACAGCACATATATCATAATTTGAACCTATGAATTCTTCTCGACATCCTTCCTTTCTCTTTCCTTGCTTCTCCACTCCAGCCATTCTTTTCAACCATACCTCTGTTTATGAAGTTGTCCTGGTTTTCCTTTCCTTGGGGCTTATCCACACTGTCCTTTATCCTCACTCTTTCCAGCACAGGTCCCTGCTTAAAAGCTCTGTGTCTGAGCTTGGGTGCCCACCCCCAAGCATTCTCTGCAAAAACCCACTCTTTAGCACTCACTGAGAGCAAACATCCATTTGGGTTTTATGCAGATTGCCCTTTGCTCCGATTTAGGACATTTTTGTGGTGGAAGCTCCAGAGCAAAAACATGGACGCTGGGACACAGCACTTTAAAGTATGTACCTGGAAAAAGTGGAGGAAAGGCTAAGCCCTTAGACCTGGCATAGGCAAACTCAACTACAATTCCCATCATCCCTGACCACTGGTCCTGTTAGCTAGGGATGATGGGAGTTGTAGTCCCAAAACATCTGGAGGGTCGAGTTTGCCTATGCCTGCCTTAGACTAAACTCTCATCTCCCTCCTGCTCTGTTTAAAAATATGTGCAAGCCATACTCTGAGTAGACCCATTAAAATAAATAATGGTTTTACTCTGAGCATGATTAACACTGGACATCACTCATAGTTGCTACTATCATCCTTCTCTGTGTAGCATAACTACAATACTTCCTATCAACTATAACTAAAGGAGCATGCACATGTTACATTGAATGAGCGTACAATCTCTGAACCCTGTGTAAACAAATTGTTGAGCTACACACTCGTATAATTATTCACATGGAATGCTCAATGAGTGTACAATCTCTGCATGCAAATCAACAAGTGTACACATGCACATATGGAGAGATAGTTTGCACGTGAAAGAGAACAAGCCTTCAGCTGCATTGAAACCACGTTGGCATCCTTCACACATCTGTCTGCTTGGCCAACACCCTTTCCCATTTTCATTTCTCCATTTTTATTAGAAAGAAGAATGTGGCCAATTCCCAAGCAGTGATTCAGACAGGAATGACAATGTGTAGGCTGTTTGGGCTTATTCCAAACAAACAACGGACCTATTATCCAAACTCATTCACTGTGTGGTGAGCAACTGTGATTTTCAGTCAATGCTTGGTAACTTTGCTATGCTACTTAGTCATACTTGTATGTATAATAGTTTGCTAAAATTGCTAAAATCAGCACAATCAACTTTTTGCACCCAACCGCCACATACACAAAGAGCAGGCTATTCTGTACATGGCAGCAGTTGAATGCAATTAGCTTGCCACAGTGTAGGCAGGCTCCCGTGGCCAGTGTAGGCCTGATGGCTGTGTGCAAAGGCCCTCAGAGCCAGCATCAAAAATACTGTACTGAGCTAGATTGAACTGTGGTCTGACTCAGTATAAGACAACGACCTATGTTTCAGAAGACAGCTAATTGGAGATTGAGTGCAAATCTGTATGTGCGGGCTATCACAGGACTGATTGTTGAAAATCAGGGAAAGGAACACTGCAATTCAGCTAGAATGAGTGGATGAGACTTATAAATGCAGAATATAATAATATTGAAGCAATAGTCCCCACTATCTATGCACTTCTATAGGCCTAGCGCAAACTCAATAACTTCACATTGAAGCTGCTTACCATTTATGCAACTCAATGCCAGGCCTGTGTTATTTAAATCCTTTGTCCCCCCAGGACCCCCCAGGATGTGTTTAATCATTGAACTAAATGCAGCGATTTCACAGCTGGAAGGTACCTGTTAGAATCTATTTCACTTAATTATTCTTTTTGTTAATATTAAGCAGGTTTTTAGACGGAATATTCCTGTCAGCGGAGGAAGCCAAATGGACAGAATGAGCTCCGAGCTCTGTGCTCTGTGCTCTGTGCTGCTAATGATTTTCAGCCTGGACCTGGGGGGGTTCTTGCTGCTTCCACAAGGGAGAGATTTCAGTCTCCCAATTAAACACAGCAGCACTCAGCGTTGTGTGCGGCATTTTGTGCTGAACCGACTCAAATGTTGGAGGACTGGCTCTTTAAAAAAGTGTCCTGCTTGCTAGTTTTACTGCGGAGAGTGCTTAGCGCTGTGGTGGCACTCGTATTATCAGAACAGACCTGAGTCCTCCTGCTCGGGAGCAGAATGTCAGGTTCAGGTGAGGGGAATGGTGCCTCGGGGATCACTCTTTCAAAAGGTTATCAGTTGCCTGCCTCTTCTGTCTATATAGCTAATGCCACCTGTCCAATGAGAATCAAGAATCTAGGTTCCCCTGAATTTCAGCAGCCATTTAATTTTATTTGTAAGTTTTTGAAAATGGCCTGCTGAAGGAGATGTCCTATTTAGAAAGGTAAAAGGTAAAGGACCCCTGGATGGTTGTTGTTGTTTAGTCGTTTAGTCGTGTCCGACTCTTCGTGACCCCATGGACCAGAGCACGCCAGGCACTTCTGTCCTCCACTGCCTCCCTCAGTTTGGCCAAACTCATGCTGGTAGCTTCAAGAACACCATCCAACCATCTCATTCTCTGTCGTCCCCTTCTCCTTGTGCCCTCCATCTTTCCCAACATCAGGGTCTTTTCCAGGGAGTCTTCTCTTCTCATGAGGTGGCCAAAGTATTGGAGCCTCAGCTTCACGATCTGTCCTTCCAGTGAGCACTCAGGGCTGATTTCCTTAAGAATGGATACGTTTGATCTTCTTGCAGTCCATGGGACTCTCAAGAGTCTCCTCCAGCACCATAATTCAAAAGCATCAATTCTTCGGCGATCAGCCTTCTTTATGGTCCAGCTCTCACTTCCATACATCACTACTGGGAAAACCATGGCTTTTACTATACGGACCTTTGTTGGCAAGGTGATGTCTCTGCTTTTAAGATGTTGTCTAGGTTTGCCATCGCCTTTCTCCCAAGGAGCAGGCGTCTTTTAATTTCGTGACTGCTGTCACCATCTGCAGTGATCATGGAGCCCAAGAAAGTAAAATCTCTCACTGCCTCCATTTCTTCCCCTTCTATTTGCCAGGAGGTGATGGGCCCAGTGGCCATGATCTTAGTTTTTTGATATTGAGCTTCAGACCATATTTTGCGCTCTCCTCTTTCACCCTCATTAAAAGGTTCTTTAATTCCTCTTCACTTTCTGCCATCAAGGTTGTGTCATCTGCATATCTGAGGTTGTTGATATTTCTTCCGGCAATCTTAATTCCGGCTTGGGATTCATCCAGCCCAGCCTTTCGCATGATGAATTCTGCATATAAGTTAAATAAGCAGGGAGACAATATACAGCCTTGCCGTACTCCTTTCCCAATTTTAAACCAATCAGTTGTTCCATATCCAGTTCTAACTGTAGCTTCTTGTCCCACATAGAGATTTCTCAGGAGACAGATGAGGTGATCCAGGCACTCCCATTTCTTTAAGAACTTGCCATAGTTTGCTGTGGTCGACACAGTCAAAGGCTTTTGCATAGTCAATGAAGCAGAAGTAGATGTCTTTCTGGAACTCTCTAGCTTTCTCCATAATCCAGCGCATGTTTGCAATTTGGTCTCTGGTTCCTCTGCCTCTTCTAAATCCAGCTTGCACTTCTGGGAGTTCTCGGTCCACATACTGCTTGAGCCTTCCTTGTAGAATTTTAAGCATAACCTTGCTAGCATGTGAAATGAGTGAAATTGTGCGGTAGTTGGAGCATTCTTTGGCACTGCCTTTCTTTGGGATTGGGATGTAGACTGATCTTCTCCAATCCTCTGGCCACTGCTGAGTTTTCCAAACTTGCTGGCATATTGAGTGTAGCACCTTAACAGCATCATCTTTTAAAATTTTAAACAGTTCAGCTGGAATACCATCACTTCCACTGGCCTTGTTATTTGCAGTGCTTTCTAAGGCCCATTTGACTTCACTCTCCAGGATGTCTGGCTCAAGGTCAGCAACCACACTACCTGGGGTGTACGAGACATCCATATCTTTCTGGTATAATTCCTCTGTGTATTCTTGCCACCTCTTCTTGATGTCTTCTGCTTCAGTTAGGTCTTTACCACTTTTGTCCTTTATTATGGTAATCTTTGTACGAAATGTTCCTTTCATATTTCCGATTTTCTTGAACAGATCTCTGGTTCTTCCCATTCTGTTGTTTTCCTCTATTTCTTTGCATTGCTCGTTTAAGAAGGCCTTCTTGTCTCTCCTTGCTATTCTTTGGAAATCTGCATTCAATTTCCTGTATCTTTCACTATCTCCCTCGCATTTTGCTTGCCTTCTCTCCCCCGCTATTTGTAAGGCCTCGTTGGACAGCCACTTTGCTTTCTTGCATTTCTTTTTCATTGGGATGGTTTTAGTTGCTGCCTCCTGTATAATGTTGCGAGCCTCCACCCATAGTTCTTCAGGCACTCTGTCCAGCAAATCTAAATCCTTAAACCTGTTCCTCACTTCCACTGTGTATTCATAAGGGATTTGGTTTAGATTGTATCTTACCTGTCCAGTGGTTTTCCTACTTTCTTCAGTTTAAGCTTGAATTTTGCTATAAGAAGCTGATGATCTGAGCCACAGTCAGCTCCAGGTCTTGTTTTTGCTGACTGTATAGAGCTTCTCCATCTTTGGCTGCAGAGAATATAATCAATCTGATTTCGATGTTGCCCATCTGGTGATGTCCATGTGTAGAGTCGTCTCTTGTGTTGTTGGAAAAGCGTGTTTGTGATGACCAGCTTGTTCTCTTGACAGAACTCTATTAGCCTTTGCCCTGCTTCGTTTTGATCTCCAAGGCCAAACTTGCCAGTTGTTCCTTTTATCTCTTGATTCCCTACTTTAGCATTCCAATCCCCTATAATGAGAAGAACATCCTTCTTTGGTGTCACTTCTATAAGGTCTTGTAAGTCTTCATAGAATTGGTCAATTTCAGTTTCTTCAGCACCAGTAGTTGGTGCATAAACTTGGATTACTGTGATGTTAAAAGGTCTGCCTTGGATTCGTATCGAGATCATTCTATCATTTTTGAGACTGCATCCCAGTACAGCTTTCGCCACTCTTTTGTTGACTATGAGGGCCACTCCATTTCTTTTACGGGTTTCTTGCCCACAGTAGTAGATATGATAGTCATCCGAACTGAATTCGCCCATTCCCGTCCATTTTAGCTCACTGATGCCCAGGATGTCAATATTTATTCTTGCCATCTCATTTTTGACCACATCCAACTTACCCAGGTTCATGGTTCTTACATTCCAGGTTCCTATGCAATATTTTTCTTTACAGCATTGGACTTTCCTTTCGCTTCCATGCATATCCACAACTGAGCGTCCTTTCGGCTTTGGCCCAGCCGCTTCATCAGCTCTGGATCTACTTGTACTTGTCCTCCGCTCTTCCCCAGTAGCATGTTGGACACCTTCCGACCTGAGGGGCTCATCTTCCAGCGTCATAACTTTTATATGCCTGTTGTCTTTGTCCATGGAGTTTTCTTGGCAGGGATACTGGAGTGGCTTGCCGGTTCCTACTCCAGGTGGATCACGTTTGGTCAAAACTCTCCACTATGACCTGTTCATCTTGGGTGCCCTGCTCGGCATAGTTCATAGCTTCTCTGAGTTCTTCAAGCCCCTTCGCCACGGCAAGGCAGTGATCCATGAAGGGGCCTGGATGGTTAAGTCCAGTCAAAGGTGACTATGGTGTGCGGCGTTTGTCCACACACAGCTTTCTGGGTCGTGGCCAGCATGACAAAACCACTACTGGCACACAGAGGACTGTGGCGAGTGCCAGAGTGCATGAAAATGCTGTTTACCTTTGCCTATTTAGGGCAAGGTAAAAATAAGGGGAGGGATGCGGGTGGCGCTGTGGGTTAAACCACAGAGCCTAGGACTTGCTGATCAGAAGGCCAGCGGTTCGAATCCCCGTAACAGGGTGAGCTCCCGTTGCTTGGTCCCTGCTCCTGCCAACCTAGCAGTTCGAAAGCGCGTCAAAATGCAAATAGATAAATAGGTACCACTCTGGTGGGAAGGTAAACTGTGTTTCTGTGCGCTGCTCTGGTTTGCCAGAAGTGGCTTAGTCATGCTGGCCACATGACCCGGAAGCTGTACGCCGGCTTCCTCGGCCAATAAAGTGAGATGAGCGCTGCAACCCCAGAGTCAGTCACGATTGGACCTAATGGTCAGGGGTCCCTTTACCTTTACCTAAAAATAAGGGAGACGGACAATAAGAAAAGCAAAACTTCATGGCTGTTTTAAGCAAATCCCCCGGCAGCAACACTGTCAGCAACATGGATCATTCTGTCCTGAGCACAATAAAGTGTATCTTTGTTCAGTCATTTCCTCAAAAGGCAATGATGGGGAAGGGGGAGAGGTGTCAGTGGGGAGGCAGAGCTGACAGCACCAAAACTGAATGCATAAGCGGCAAAAGGTCCCAGCAGAACAGCAACTTGCTCAGGTCTGCATTTTTGGATGAAGCTATGGTAACGTGAAAGAGGTAAATAAATTGCAGGAGCAAATCCATTTTCCTTGCATAGGTTTTGTTTAGCTGCCACAGGGTGCTTTCCAGAGATCTTAGACAAGCGTTGGAAACTGTCATGTTCAGCAGGTAAGGAAGAGAGGCAGGTAACTCCCTGTTTGATATTAGAGATAACAACAGCATCAGCATCGAAATTGGTAGCCCGTGTACTAGATTGATTGTGCTGTCAATCAGTCTATGGCCTACTCAGACATAAGCCCTACTCCCAAGGAAGTAGGCATTGGATTGCAGCCTTAATATTTTATACCTTGTCTTACCTCCCAGATCCCCTCTATTCATGTAATATTCCCATTTCATGAATAAGGACTGCCTTTTGGTGTCTAGGTGCCTTTTTAGAGAGCGTCAAAGTAGATTCCTCTCTCAAAACAACTTGGATAGAAAAAGGAGCATAAAAAATTAAAGGACATTCTTTGATTTACATGCACAGCAATGGGTCGTGTAATCTTTTTTCTCCAAATTCTGTATGATTCACACGCCAAAGACCAGGGGATAACTTTTCTGGAATAACATTGAAAGGAGTAAATCTTATGTGTGTACTGCTCTGGGTTTTTATACATTAAGAGAGGTTGATGAAGGGTTATAATAAATAAATAAATAATAATTGTGCAAGATTTCCCCTCTTGGCTCTAGTCTTAAAGGAAAATTAACAGAGCTTTGTCTAAATCAGGGGTCAGCAACCTTTTTCAGCTGTGGGCTGGTCCACCGTCCCTCAGACCATGTGGTGGGTGGACTATATTGGGGGGGGGGGATGAACAAATTCCTATGCCCCACAAATAACCCAGAGATGCATTTTAAATAAAAGGACACATTCTACTCATGTAGAAACATGCTGATTCCCAGACTGTCCGCGGGCTGGATTGAGAAGGCGATTGGGCCGCATCCAGCCCCTGAGCCTTAGGTTGCCTACCCCTGGTCTAAATAATGTGTTCTATCTTTGCTTCTAGTGGTGAAAGAACAAAACTGCACCCATTCCCCACCCCAGACTTTCCAACTTCCATATATTCAAAGCCCTGCCTGGGTGCACAAAGTCCTGCTTATGCTGCAAATATATGATCTGTGTTCTGAAAAAAGTGGATGGTATATATCATGAGCATAGAGCCTACATCGTAGCTCAGTGACAGACCATCTGCTTTGTATGCCAAGGGCTCCAGTCAGTGGCATCTTCAGTTAGATAGAGCTGGGAACAGCCATAGTCTCAAAACCCTGGCATTTCCTATGTCCCGATGTGTTGCAATGTATGTGCATAAGCCAATGAGCAGATGGGCCCACAAATACATGGGTTTTTGGACATGATTAGGGGCACGGTCAATGGGGATGATCCTGACCCTTGCCTCATACTCAGGGATATTATAATTTTAAACCTAGGAAGATTATTTGTAAGGAACACTTCAAGCTTCTTTGTGTTCTTTCAAAACTTAGTATTAAATAGGTTCTGCTAGATGCCTGATCAATTGTTTAAAGCCGGGTTGGTAATATGCAGTAAATGTTGGAGATGTTGGTAGCCTTGAGCCAATATTTCTCTCATGCTTTCCCACTGCAAAGAGCCTTAAAACATTCCAAGCTGCGGCATTAGGTGGCTTTTCGGAAGCCTTAAGGTATGTTCGCATTACCACTTGCTCTGCATCAAGTGTGCTCCCACTGCTAGTTTTTGAAGCCACTTTAGCCACAAAATCCACATTGATCCTGTAGTTTCTGGACAAATACTGCTGCTAGGTGTTTCCCCCCTCAAACCAGCTACAATGCAACTAGAAAACCTAAGCCGCATTCATTGTATTTATGAATGCTGTGTGCACAATTTAAGATAGCCATCATGTGTATGCAGGTGAGTGCATATGCACAGATGGCAGCTTTAATGAATAGGAGTTTTGTGAGGGTACAGCACGGAACCCAAAAGTTTGTGCAGGACTGATGAAGGCATCCCCGCTCTCTCTCTGACGTGAACAACTTTGTGCAAATGTGGCTTGAAACATAGCAGGGGCAGGACAATCTTGCTGTGTTTTAAGCAGCTAATGTGAATATATTGTTTGTGGGGTGCCTGGACTCCCCTTCTGATTCCTGGGTGCTGGCACCGAATTTAGCATGTTAAAATACAAGGCAGAAGCCATCCTGGTGATGGCCTGTTAACGATGGGTGGTTAGCTGGGACAAAGGGAGTGGCTCTGTACCAGAGGGCAAATGGGAGGCTCCTCTCAACTCAGAGTTAGCAAGAAGGACAAAAACTCTGAAGCAGAGCAATTGTTTGAAGGATTGCAGTTTTGCCTGATGTAAGCTGGGGGGAAAGTTAGTTGTGGTTTGCAAGCGGCATTAGGCTGGAGAAAGTGGGAGGGTAAGAGCAATGTGGGCTGGCAGTTTGAATCCAAGGCAGCAGTTTCGGGAGAAACGGAACCCTCTTGGAGTGTAATGCTGGGCACCCCTTCATCCTAGGCTCAGACTGTATATAAGCCATTGTGATGGGATGATGAGCTGCTTGTGCGTAAAATCGTATCCCCTCAGAGTTTGTTCAAGTCCACAAACCTCTGTCTGTGACGGAGCCCCTCAGACATGGCTCCTCTAGTCACTAGCAGATTCCGACAGTGGTTGCTTTCGTAATCGCTCCCTGCTGGTTCCCTCTTCAGCTGCTGCGTCTCTCCCAACCTGTGTGAGCCCTTTCACCTCCCTGCTGGTTCCCTCTTCAGCTGCTGCGTCTCTCCCAACCTGTGTGAGCCCTTTCACCTCCCTTCCGTCCGATGGCAGTTCCCTGACATCCACCTCCCCTCCAGGGCCCCCTTCACCCCCTCTCGCCCCCTCCTCTACGGGCGGTGAGGAGGCAAAACCCGGAATGAACTTCCTTCATCTTCCGATGTCTCGAACACTTCTCTCAACCTGTTGCGGTTCCTG